GATTACCCCTGAAGATTTTTACCTCGCTCTGTACACCCCTGAAGAATTATCCAAAGAAATTCGATTACCCCTGAAGATTTTTACCATGAGGAGCCCCGACCCTTCTTTTTTTGTCCCAGCGGTATATCTTGGAAGCGCTGAGTAGGTGATAAGTCAATTAGCATTGTCCAATCGTCAGAGGCTTCGAATGATAATATCAACAGTACGAAGAAGGTTGCTTTCAACTGCTTTCGATTAAAATAAGCAGCTCARTTGTTCAAGCTTTAATAGGATAATGCTTTTTATGGTCATGGCCAACTCTTGGCGCGAGAATCAAAACTTGATTCTCCTCTCGCATCACATTCACTTTGTGGTTCGTCGTTGGCATCTCAACATGATGTATCATGGCCGTCTTCCATCAAGTGTTTTCCTCCACTCTAGACGTTAAAAAGCACTGGTATGCTCTAAATTCCGAAGTTTGTGGTACCCTTCCGAGGAAATTTTCTAGTTATAAAGTTTTTAAGGTTTTTSCAAGCGATATTCGAGAGGTGGCGATAAAAGAGTTGACTACGATCGATGGAGGCRAAGTTCCCGCCAAATGGTTCGTAGGCTCAGAGTCGAATGCAAACAAGAATCGAACTCAAAATGTTTTCGTATCATCGACGCTTGGTGTGMTTGCAGGCATTCTGAGCTCATGCAAGGAGGAAAGRACGAAAACTTTGGGTCCAATAAAGCACATATTGKACCTTATTCAAGAACAGAGGCTTGACAACGAAGACRTCTCGACCCCTATTAAAGCCAATAAGAGACCATTGCTCGATGAAAGAAAGCATCATGCCCATTCCAAGCTGAGCCAGCCAAATGAAATCCATTCCCAGCCGACTAGTCCTTCTTCAAATCACATTCAGCCCAGCCTGCCAAATCTTATAATTCAGTCCAGCCCGCCAAATCTTATAAATCAGTCCAGCCCGCCAAAACTTAATTATTTCAAGCAGACCCCGCCAAATCTTGATTGCAGTTTCTCTTCATGTACCAGTGGYAGCAATGATTTTTCCATTATAGAAATTAAGAATTCTGATTACACTCCAGCCGTGAAGAAAAGAAAAATAAGAAAGCAGGCAAATAGRGTCATAAAAGAAGTACGAGAAGTTTGTAGGCGAAATAATGAGACACTTGCTTCTGCCTTAGCAGAGTCTTGTTTATTGGATGGTAAAAAATATTCTTTCTCACGAGAAATTATCACGCAAGCGTTTGACGAAGTCGTGAAAAGAAAAGGGACCAAGAGAGCTTTCAAAGAGCTTCTCTCAGAGGACACGATGGGGAAGCACTAAGAGTCAATGCGTGTCCCTGATTGGCAGTACCTTCTTCTGAAGCTGGAAGAACTCCAGACAAAAGTTGGCAGATCTTTGTTAATCGAACAGATTTGGGAAGAAACAAAGTAAGTTTATGAATACTATCTGAGCTTAATATTCATGCATTTCTTTATTAAAAATATATGGTTTTTTGTTTATTTTATGTTCTGTACTGCACATGTGAAAATTTATGTMTATATTACATTTTTATATGCTGTTTATGTCAAACTTTGTATGTTTGTTAGAGTAAAATATTAATTTAATCATTACACGCAATCATATTATAGACAAATGGAACACCAATCATACCCCTTAAGAACCACATGAAAGCTCTTCGAGGCATGATAAATACTACTGTCCATGACCTGTTCCAAGTTAGGCCACTCCCAAATCAGATTCCCGGGTACCAGATAAATCTTGCTTCAGCAATCATTTGGTCCATAAGAGAGCAAAGACTACATGGGTGCGACAAAGCAGATAACTTCATGGAATTCCATCTCAAGCTTGATGGCCGGCCATTATTTGGTAACAATTCAGTCATATTACTTGTATTTTTTTTTTAATAATTGCAAATGAAATCACCAAAGGTTTTCTGAGAGGGTATTTATCATAATCTATCAGAGAGAAAAAACAAAGAAGGAACTGGGTGTTAATATTATTGAATTGTTTTGCTTTTACTTTGGTACAAATTCATAAACTTGGATAGAAATTAAGATTACTCTGTTGATTATTCCCTCTCTTACATTTGAAATGTCAGTGCAGTTCAGAAAATTTAATTCTTGGTGCTTAAGTTTCCTTCCTATTTTCATTAAATAATGTACTCAATATTCCAATTCCTTATTTTGATAGGAAAAGACCAAATAAACATAGGAATCGTTCCAGCAAAGCATCCATACTTATCTAGTCAGAGCTCCAAAGCTGTGTATACAGTGGCCATTGCAAATTGTGAAGAAAATAGGTATGTATATAGAAAAAAACTATAGAATAGCCAGCATATAATGCAGAAATATCWGTATCAGAATTCGGAAATGGTATGTTTATATTGTTTGCTAGGTTTTCTGAAGCTTTACCATTCAGTATTCAGTTTRTGCATAACATTTATTAATTTGTTCTCTTTATGATAAGGATTACAGTCAAACCAACTAGTTCCTGCGTTCCTATCAAGTTTGAAAGATTGAATTCATTATTATTAATTTAACAAAGGTTGCAATCTACAACCCAGGCGTTAAAATAAAATGCTCTTTCAGAAGTTTTTGAATGGAGTTCTTGAACGAAGTATTTATACACCACCACACAACACAGTTTGAAATGGTAACCACAATGGTATAAAGATTTTTGGTTTTGCATCAATCTTTAAAGAACTGGAGCTATTTGAAATCCAAACCTAGATTTAAAGAATGCAATCTTCGCTTAAATAATGCAAACTTCAAAACAAACCCAGATTCAAATTTCAAATAACAAACTGAACCTTCCAACCTTGATAGRAATGCATGAGCTGGTTTGATAGTTTAATAGTTTGACAACTTTTTTCTTGAAATTTAACAGCAGCATATTTATTTTATAGGCAAAACATCAGAGACATGATTGTTGACATCAATTTCCAGAAAGACCAGATTAAAAGGAATGGCATTTCTATTGATGGAAAATTGTATGGAATCAAATTTAAAGGTAAACTAGAGAACTTTACCTCTAGTGATGCTAACTAACCATGATTGATGTTAGTCATTTGTTGCTTTTCAGTTATTCTTGATTACAAAGGATTCTGCCTCTTACTGGCTAAGGCAAATGATGGTAATTTCGAGCTTGGTGGAAAAGGCCTCAACGTTGAATTTTGCATGTTTTGCCATGCRATACGGGTAAGAAATTCATTTATACTTTTACATTGTGTACTCTCTATATATGTGCATTCTGATCAGCAATAAATATGACAAATTTATAAAAACATCCAATTAATTAAGGGTACTTCCCATTTCATTAGAATAATTCAATTCACATGACAATTTCTCTAATCGACTGGCACCCACATGGACACTCAAAATATCAATGAGCCCTAATTCTGTAGGAAATAAGCTAAACACCAAGGAAGAATAATGATTATGTATTCATACACTTATATGTAATAGCTGTGTACCAATTGTGATCTTGGACCAAATGAGGTTTGCCTGAAGCATTTCTCTATGTGCAAAGCAAATATTGGAGGGTAAGTACACAACTATTAATACATAGGTTGTGAACAATATGTCCTTAGAATTATGAAATTGCTAATTGAAAATCTATATCACAGGTATGGTTTGGGATCTGCTCTCTCTCTCTCTCTCTCT